GGCTGGGCTCTGCCTCCCGAGGGCGGGTGGCTGGGCGGCGGGGCGGGGGCCGTGCGCCCCACCCTTTGTTCCCGGCTCTCTGCCCCAGGGCTAAGCGTCCGGGACTGGGATCTTCCGGGCTGTCGCTGTACCGGTGCTCTTCGGAGCCGGTGGTTCGTGCCCTGGACCTCCAGTCCACAGCTCTGCGAGGGCTTAGGGCATCCAGGGAAGGGAACCTGGAGCGTTAGGGAACGATGCATCCACTTTCTCTCAATCGCTTTGTTCCTTCTAAGCAGCTCGCTCACCCTACTCCTTCCTACCCCACTGCGGATTCTTAACTTTCTAAAGATTTTGCCTGCAGGTCTCATGATGCCACCACTACCCATCAACGCGCCTCAGCTTGAGTTGAGGATGTTTTCATGGCCAAAGGGCAGCGAAAGTTTGTCTGCTTCGCCAGGTGCCCCGGACGTGAAACTGGCGGCACCCAGACTTTCTCTGTGTACTTGGAAGCCCTCTCCCCAGGGCGGGTATTCCTTTCATGTTGTCTGGGTACTGCGGTCGGTCCCCTGGTCTGCGGACCTTGAGCCTTCCACAGAGACAAGGGCGCTGAAAGTCAGGCCACTCACACCTTCAACCCTATTGTAAGAACGCAGTTTGCAACTCGGGCAGCCCGGAGCATGTCTGGACTGCCCAGTCTCGGTTTTCCTTACCTAGAAAGTGGAAGGGGGATGGGAGTGTTGCTGATTTCCGCAGGGCTCAGGGATATATTGGGGCAGTTTGCTTAGACCAAGGTTGTCTTACCTTTTCTCGTGGACTCAGCTACAACAGATAAGTACAGATAAGACCCAGAATAGGACCCCTCTTAGGGACACTTGGCTCACAGTTCAGAAAATGAGGTAAGAGCGGGCAGCTACGGGTCAACGATACCCACTCCCCTCTTAGTGGACGCTGTGAGTCCGTTTGGGTAAAGCCTCACGGTTTCTTACTGTGTTCCACTGCAATAAAACCTCATTGTTTTAACAGATACCAAATTTCCTTAAGGTGATCTC